CTCATCCTATTATCTTATACGTAGAAATTAAAGAGTATACACGGTGCAATTACTGCAATATCCCACGTATTATTTAGCAGAACGGAGACACCGTTTTGTACAATAGGATCTATTGATTTGTCCGTAATTGTGTGGTCATTCCGTAAGACAGCGCATATCGTTTCTTGGTCGCCAGTTGCTCAATTGTGTTTTCACGCTTGCTGAGCACCATTCATCGTTTTCGTTACGAACTCTTGGTGACATGACAAATTGCCAATTTGATAGACTTTAATTTTTCATTAAAGTAGTAATTTACGATATCATATTTTATTTTAAGCCTTTAACTGCTAGATGTTTAAATCTATAGACAATTTTACTAGAAAATATCCACTCGGTCTAGGTTCACGTCCAAAACTAGATCGAGTGTTTTTTAGTAAAATTTCTATAGATCTTAATGATAGTTTTTGTGTTTCCTTTTCTACTTACTATCATCATCCAGTTTAGAACTTTTATAATTCCATTGCTAAAAATATAAAATTATTTTTAATTAAATACTTACTCAAATTGAAAAAAAATATGTCTTACTAAAAGCTTTTTTTTACATTGATTCTTTAAGTAGCGAGCGGACTCATGGTTTCTTATTAAAACTCATAAAATTCTAACTAGCTTGATGACACTTGAAATAAATGGATAAACGTTAAAAGTGAGAAATAAAAAAAAAGTTATGTTAGCTTTGTCTTATAAATAACTGCCAAGGATATTCATATCCTGATACATTTTGTTTTACGACAGACGTACGGACAGTTTACCTACGAACTGGCAAGCTGCCTGATACGAAAGGAAAGGTGTGAAGTATGACCGAATAAGTAGCACCGATATTATTAGCCACAACTTGCCAGATATCCGTGTTACGAAACCGATAGCGACAAGTGCATGAACATGAAAATGATTAAGGCCCACCGCAGACACCAGACTTTTTGTGCGTTTAATAAGGCGACATGATCACATCATGAGAAGCCTACCTTTTAATACTCCTCTGCTGGATCCTTAATTATGAGCAATAAATAAAAACATCAAATAATGAGAAAAATGCCACCAAGCAAGCCAGCCCAGAGCGAAATACTGCGTGGTGCTGCTGCTTTATAACTAACCAGATAAAATTGACCATGCCGACTTGGAAACCTTGCTATATTACGAATAGCACATATAGTATGTGTTCTGTAATAGGCCAAGTGTTATGTAAAGCAATAACTTTTATCGTTTATGTATACGAAATTTAAAAACGTAGCCAGTGATAAACTTTCGTTTAATCAACAATTCAAAAACGTAACTCGAGAGATGTAAAAAGTAAAAGTAGTCAGATTTATTTGGTAAAACAAGTAAGAATAATAAAAGTATTGTACCTTTGTATTGAAACTGTGGGATGATATTAAGGTCGTTCGGTATATTTACTGAGCAATATGGTCACGAACAGATAATACTTTGCGAGACAGTTAGACCTACTTTTTAATCTGGCCAAGCCACTCAGAGTGTGACGGGCGGCTCATAAATAGGTTGACTATTGAGTGACTTAACGATGCATGACATAGGAGTTGGTTAATAGTCCTGTCATGTGAAGAAACATTACAATTAAGATATCTCCCAAGCCCTGTACCTGTTTTTATCGTATGCGCAATGAGTTTGGACTAATCGCTGTTTTTTTACGATTCACGACACATTTCTGCATATATCTAAAAGTAGTATTTTCTAGTTGGCTGAAGAGGTATACAAACAGACAGCAGAAACAAATAAGTGCGAATTTTATTGTCAACTGTGTCAAAATGATCGTTAGGAAACCCCAAAAATTCAAGGCTTATATAGAAAACAGTACCTACTTTAAATGAGAATGCTATAAAACTGTTTTATAAGCGCTCCTCGGAACGGGTAAAATCAAGATAGTTTCGCGATCCGTGACTGCTAAGCCAACTGGCGCATGGAGAATATTTCGTCGTGGTCGTTAAGTTCAATGACCTCACACAGAAATTTACCTATTCCTTCTATTTTTAGGAACTCCGCAGATCTGCTGAAAGACAGAAACCTATCGCAAATACATCATGGTGTGTTCCAATCTAATAAATAATGAAACTAGCAGTAACCGAGTAAGGGGAGTGTAGAAAGTTCTTAGAAAACGTTTCCTCGTATAATTAACACAGCAGCTTAGTAGCTAGATACAAGTTTTTCTTGATCTCAAAGTAATGTCGAAGAGATAGATATATGAATTACACAGATATAATTTTTAACACGTTTGTTTTTGCAAATCATATTCATTATATAAGCATCCAATCATTTATAATTTTAAATTAAGAAGACAGACTTTATTATGAATATGTAAGATTTTCTTCTCATTAATAATTTACAGGAAGACGGCTGTAGCCGTTTAGACTCTGACTATCTTAAAATTTGTTTCATATAATGAAAAAAAACTTTTAAAATTATCTACTACATAAAATATGTGATGTCATGTAGTGAATTTGGACACAATATTATGAGCTTCTACTAAAGAACATTCACACAAGGAAAAATTCAGTGAACTGTAATTCGGACTCTCACATAGAGAGTTCCATACTATCCTACAATTTTTAGCATTTTAAATATAGCTTGTATTAGAATTTTATCTATCACAGTTTAAGTACGGATCCCGAAAACGAACACGAACTAAGTATTTATTTAAAATAAACGCAATATACGAGAATGTCAACGTACAAACATGCTTCTTTACATCCATCCAAAGAGTAGGTCAAGCATTTGTAGGCAAAACATTGTAGCAATCACCGTTAACGAATACTAAACAAGATTGTAAACACATAGTTTAGGAAAGCGATCTTACTAGGTCATTTAACAAAGAAGTATTAATTACCTCGTATTAAGTTTAATTTTTTCGAGATTCTTTGAAATTTCATTCATTGGTTTCATAATAATCCGTGGTTGCGTAATCATTTCTGATTAAGTAATGGTCAATCACTAGATTGAGTTTCACTGGAATATTAATTATACCGGCATTGCGTAATAAAGAAAACTGAATAATTTATTATGTCAATTATAACAATCAACGCAAATGTTCCAATTTCCACGACATGATTCTATGGTATGCGAGCTTGGGTAGTTGGTACCGACTATGCGTGTTATTATTACACTTGGCTTGCGTAGTTCAAAATATTCTGTTGCATATGATTAAAGTTAATTTTGTATTCAGGTGCTATGTGACGTCATGCCAAGAGTTGCGTTTGTGCTACGGTTGATAGCGGTTTGATAGGAGCACTGACATTGCTTTCTGCTGGAATTTCTCAATCACTATCGGTTTATCCGTATGAACGTGGTGATTTTTTTCCTATTACGACCGATGTGTTTTTGTTTTCAATAAATTCAAATACAGTTTTAAATATGGAATGTGTCATACTGTGATTCGGAGTAACGGAACACCGAACTTAAAAGAAATTATGAAATAATTCATCATTTCAAAATACTTCGCTTATCTACAAATTTGATGAAACACCGTACCAACTGATAATAAATGAAGAAACAAAATAAGAGAGCAAAATAAAATATGTGAGTTTATCTCAAGAGGGATTTGCTGTAACCGGTATCAGTACCCCTAGCACGAACCATTATCGAATTCGAATAGTTTGCAAGTATGAAATGTCAATGTCAAATTTTGTATGGAAACTTGAACAGCAGCGCCACAAAGTACGTAACAAGAACTAAAAGTCAGTACACATTTGACAATGACATTTCGGACTCGCAAACGTTACGAATTCGATATTGGTTCGTACTAAGGGTACTAATCTAAAAAAAACACTAACCAAAGGAGATAGATTTGTTTTTTTTTTATTATAACATGGTAACGTAACAGAAACCGTCTTTTCTTTAAATTTAAACACAACCATTTCGTCAACAAGAGTTGCATGTTATCCAGTTTATCAGTTTTGAGTATTAAGTTTTATTTCTTTTAAAGGCTATAAGAATATTAGACGGAAATTGCTCTGATTGCAATTCATGTTAATGTCCAATGTGTAATTCTTTCAAAATTTACGATTTCTTAGGAAGGAATGGTAGACTTATTAGCCTATTGGCTAACATAGCCTATAGGCACTAGTCAAGTTGCGAATCTTATTACTCCTGCGCCTTGCCCGAGTTTCATGCGAAGCTCTGAAAACCTTACTGCAGTATAAGCTAGTATTACGGCCGTCAGTATTTACTTACCCAAGGTTTGATTAATGTTCATGGTCTCACTCTTTTTTTCGATAATAATAGAACTCTGACAACATTCTTAAATTCACACACGTCACACGTCTTTGAATAATGCCGTTAGTATTACTTTTGTCTAGAGCTTTCTTTCATTATCGTCATCAGCCCCATTAATGTCCCAACTGCTGGGGCATCAGAATTGGGAGATTGGGTCTGCCTTCTTGATGGTAATGTCTGTATATTAGATGCCTCACCAGGTGAACTGACGACATTAAGGGAGTCGAGGGACCCACTATATGCAAAAAGCACAAGACGTTGTGTTTGAATAGTTGAGTTCGATCTCGATACGCGTCAAATATCAAGATTCTTTAAATGGAAGTTTTTGATGTGTAACATCTTTCCTCTCGCTTTCCTGCAATTTGTGGGAATGATTTCGTGAAATGAGACGGAAGTGTGTAACAGGAAGTCGCGAAAGAGCGCGCTTATTGATTTGATTTTAGAACACAATGTTCAAATGGCTCATTCCTTTTGTAGTAGGTTTTATTTCTTTTTTTAATAACATAAGGTGAGATTTCAAATGTTACCTTAGATTTCAAATGTTACACATCATACGCGACTACTGTAAGGCTCGCTCGTTTTTTTTTTTAATTCTCGTTACTTCCGTTGTAGCGCGTATCGAGATCGAATTCAACTATTCGAATTCGATATTGGTTCGTGCTAAGGGTAAAGAACTGGACTTCGATCGGCTGATTATGGTGACGATGATTTAAGTATACATCATATATCTTTAAGCTTACCTTGCAAGCTAGGGGCAGAGGTAGGCGCCGCGGGCGGCGGCTGGTGCAGCGTCGGTGGTGGTCTGCGCCTCCTGGGCGCGTGCAGGCCCGGGGCGGACGCGGCTCGCGTGGCGGTGCGGAACCCGGGCGCCCTGTAGCGGGCCGACTTCACGGGCCCGGCCGGGACTGTGGCCGTGCCCGTTATCGAAGGCAGACGGGGTAACGAGCCCGCGCGCTCTTCTTCCTCCGACTGAAACCGTGTGGGTCTTTAGACTTGTGTTGTGTTTTCTATACTAATGTTATAAAGAGGAAAGATTTGATTGTTTGTTTGTATTGAATAGTTTCGGAAAACTACTGGACCGATTTGAACATAAAAAATAACATTAAGAATCCTACATTATTCCTGATGAACATAGGCTATACAGTATTGTTTTTTAAGATCGATGATGTAATCCAATGTGTGAACAAAATCCCAAATAAAATAACCAAATATCGCGTACGCAGCGGACAGTCATTGACAATAGAGGAAAATGATGTACTACTTTTATAGAAGACATCAATATCTACAAAAAAGTCCGCGATACCATACGTTTGACTATTACAGTTATGTCCCCTGTGGTTTCACCCGAAAAAGGTTATATATGTGTAAAGTGAGTCCAACATCAAAGAAGGGATATGCCCTTCTTTGATGATGCTGTCGCGAACTTTTTATAGAAAGTAAACAGGGATTAATAGATTTGATGTTGTGCTTACTTTATACTTAGCGGAGTCAACGTTAATCAAAGACATTTTAGGCTGACGGGGTACAGAGCAAGCGTGCTCTTCTTTCTCAGACTGAAGCCGCATGGGTATTTAGATTTGTGTTGTGTTTTGTTTAAATAACATTATGAATGCGATATTTTTCCTATAGATGAAAGTGATCCACTTTGGGTGACTGCAAAGTCGAATTCTGGTTACTTGGCTTAAGTAAACAGGGATCAATACAATTTGATGTTGTGCTTACTTTACAAGAGAGTTTACTTGATCATAGACAGACGAACATAGTTATTAAGTACTTATTAAGTACTTTTTTGTGTTGTGTTGAAATAACATTATGACTAAGATATTTTCTCTGTAGAAGAAATGAAACTCCCTCCGTATGTGAATCCAAAGTCAAAATGTGGTAGTTTACTCGTAATTGGTCAAGTAGGTAAGGGAGTATACATCGTTCATTGACATTCCGCACTCTTAATGGAATGCTGACCTATTAAAACTTAAGACATACAGACAGAAGCTTGTACTAACGTTGTCTATATTATTCTATGTACAGTATACACAAATATCGTAGGTGCGTTCACGACACCTTACTTGAAAATTAAACATGTACCTATACAAAAAGAAATTGCAAACACAAGCATGTCGTACGTTATGCAACGTTGACCCAAATACTTATAGGTCAGTATTCTATTAAAAGTGCGATTAATTAAATGACTTTTTATTATTTCTTCTTTATGTTTGTTCGTATGCAAACTAAATTGATTCTATTTTAGTAAACGTTGCGTCGAGGTGTTTCGTAGAAGCATATCCTTATCACTTTAAGATTCTATCTAGATATTATCAATACGAATTTTACGAGCATCTTTTAATCGATGCCATCAATGCAGTGAACAAATATGATTTTAATGTACATCTATGAATAAATCATAAATAAATTGAATTTCTCATTAGATAAAAAAATACGTTATTACTTTACTAATTAAGTATACAATCTATACTATTTAATTTAGAAACTATCCTGTTTTACCAATTTAACGATTAATCTAGATTAATGCTTTATTATTATGGTATGACTTTATGGTTTTAGAAACTTGTGACATAACAATACTAGTTCGCTAGCTCATCAATAAGATACAGCTGTTTATCAATATCCAATTGACAAAATAAATTACTTATTGACAATTAAGTTTCAATAACCGATATCTTTCTCATGCAATTGGGGACTGAATTTGTTAATTTAGCTAGCTGTAACCTACAGGTAAAGTTTATTTACCTCGGCATCAGGGGCAGAAGCTCGCCGTCTTCCTCGCCACAGGCGATCTTCGCTGCCGCCTATGGCACCACAACTCCTCGAATGCGATCTCTGGGCGGCCAGCTCCGCGCCCGCCGGCGATCGCCTCGCCTCACACCCAGCGCCCCCTAACGTACCCCTCGAGTCTGCCGCTAAAAGCGCAGACTCAAAACTACCCCGCCACGAAAACCGTTCACAATCACTTGCCACACTGCCCCTACTCGCTGTAGCTTCCAGAATATCATGTGACCGACTCCTCGCCAATGCCCCTGGTTCCGAAGCACTGTCGTCATCCGTACTCGGAGACGCACCAGCCGACACTTCATGCATTAAAGCCACCAAACGCCCTCCTATGTGCCTCATCACTTTACCGAACAGCGGCGGAGATCCTTCCCCGGCCCTACCTAACGTCGCCGCCAATCTACGGTAAGCGCCAGCCGCGTCGCGCTCCAACGACCCTGCCTCACTGTTACCCTTATCAAACTCATCAATTATCTCACGACAACTCTCCGATATTTGTTTCCGTAAGGCGGATCTGTTTGCTGACGTGCCTTCCAAATCTGAACCAGCGTAATCAGACGAGTCGTACGAATCACTCCAAGTATCTTCACTCGATAAGTACTCGACTATTTCGCGAACTTGCTCGTCGCGTATACCCGGAACTGTTTTCATCAATCTCGTTAATTCACTCTCAAAATATAATAGCTGAGGGGGCTTCGGGGGCCGTGAGCTTTCTGAATTTGACGACGCCGGTGTGGATGTTCTTACGTTATTCGTGTTTATCATTTGTTTGAAAAATTGTCGCATCTTCGTCATCATTAAATTAGTTTCTTCGTCAGAAGACCAATTATTAAAGCTATCTTTACGTGTTAAAGGACTCGGTGGTGGGCGTAATGGAGAACTTTCTACCCGCTCCTCAGAGTCCGTTCTTATTTCTTCAACAATCTCCTCTAGTTCTGTTTTTGGTTCATGAGTTCTTGCAAAATCTGAACTGGAATCCCCGTTCCTTAGTAAATCATCGCAGCTGCCAACAAATCCACTATCTCTGCTCGTTTGTTTCTTAGATTCGGACAATTCAGATCCAAGTGGTGGAAACTCAGGACGTGGCGTAATCCTACCATCTTCGCCTTCCGATACGGACCTAGTATCATCGCGAGATTCCTCTGCAAACTCAACTGACTGTCGTCGCTCATCTGCCGGCGAACCCCGCGTTTTTTTGCTTTGTTTTTTACGTTTTGTATCATTTTGCATATCTAACCTTTCGGATGAGTCGTGCCGGTCTTCAGTTTCTGTACTGGATCCATCTGATATTTCTTGTAGATCTTGGGAAGGCTCCTCGCCTGTTAACAAATTATCTAAAGACGACGAATGTGACCTTGGTGTACCTCGAGCGCGAACTAATCGTTTTCTCCTTTGTTCAGGGCTTTGTTTACCTTCACTGTCACTCCCAACACTTCCAGAACCGTCGGAGTCACGGTTTTCTTGGTTGAATCCCATGAATCCAGATAAGAAATATTTTTCCAAGCGCGAAGACACCAATTCATCGTTATCACTATTTCTTTTTGGTTGCTCACTATCCACGATTGAATCACCACCCTCACTACACACACTGGATGTTTCGGACAGGGCTTCTTCATCATCTCGTACATTTCTTCCATCGCCTAAGCCGAAGAAAAAGTATTTTTCCAATTCAGTAGCCGAGATGGGTCGCGGTTTTTTATTTGTTTGTTCCGTTTCGCTTTCTTCGCAACTTTCTTCGACGATTGTGTGTAGAGTGAAGTCTAAGGAACGTCTACAGTAGGCAAAATCATCCCCCCGGGCGGGTAACGTCGCTTCATCTTCCGAATCCGAGTCCGAGGGTGAAGTGGCCTCGTTCTCGTCATGGCTGATGTCCTCGACCCACGAGTCGTCGTCTGCGAGCCCCTCCTCGAGGCACACAACCGCCGAGAGCGTGTCGGCATTGCTAACGACAGTCACTCCGCCCGAAGGCTGCGGCGCTTCGTCGTCTGATATTCGTTCGTCGTTTTCGTTTGTCCGTGGGCTCGATTCTGGTTCGTTTTGCGAATTTGTATGATGCACTGTGATATCTCGCATGAGCCGCGTCGTGTCCGACGTGACGACGGAGACGCGGTCGTGCGTTATCATAACGCGACTCGTGAAGCGCGCGTGGCCGTCCGCACGGGCGGTGCGCGAGCGGCAAACTGTTGTCGCGTCAGGTGTGCACGCGCCCCCCTCCGCCTCGGGGCAAACCGGCCGCGCACCGTGCATTTTATCCGCCTCTTGGTCCTCTAATAATTCTTTCTTCAATAGTTCACTGAGCGTCCGTTCGATACCTCTAAATAAGTCAATTTTTTCTACAGCTGAGTTTGAACATTCTTGACCCGGTTCCGGCGATGGTGATAATTTTGATAAGAGTACGCAAGGTATTTCATCTGAAAGTATATTTTTATCAGTTTGTTTTTCAATGGGCAGCCCTACCGACACTTTTACTTTCATATCACTCTCCGTATTAAAATTTTTTTTAAATGAGTCAAACTCGTCATTTTCAGATAAGCTTAATCGTTGATTAGAATCCGCATCGAGATCATTTATTTTATCTATGCTATTTTGGCTATAATTTGCACTAAAACTATTAAATTCTTCACAGGTTTCACTTTGTAGCATATTTTCATCACAAAACTTTTTGAATTCAGATCTCATCGCCACGTTTTCATTATTCACTTGTTCATCATAACTTCCGTAAGGAATGACAGGGCAGTCTTCTGAAAAATTCACAGATTCTAATAGCACTATGTGTTGGTTATCGTTATTTTCCGAGTTGTTGTTAGATTCTTCATTTTCGTTAGTAATATTATTATTATGTACTAAAACATCTTGAGGAACTATATCTAAGTTGTCAGATTTTTTATCAAAAGAATCATCACAGTCAATTCCGCTACTATCAGCATTATCTTCTAAGTCAGACGAGGAATCTGCCGGGTTTACTACGAACACCCGAGAAAATTGTCCTCCACCTCCTCCCGAATCATCGGAATCCTCATCGGTTGTCGCAGGTTCATCGGGCGCTCCGCTAGTCAAGTCATAACTTCTTCGAGTGTCACCCCTTTCAGAATCACTTGAGTCATCAGATTCATTAGTTGAGTGATAGGCCCGTTCTGCGTCTAAATGATCAGGCATAGTATCTACTGGCTGCGATAAAACAGAAATAGAGTCTTCGTTCTCGACCACTTTGATATCAACTGGCGCGTCGCAATCCACTGACCGCTCAATACTATTATCGGTCTTATCGTTATCGGGGGACGCAGGCAATTCTGACGATTCTGACTGTATAGCTTTATCATATGTTTCTACGGTAGCCATAGTAAAATGTTTTGTTTGTGATATCGCTGCAGCATTGGCGTTGGCGGTGGCGGAGGCAGTGGCGGCGGCGGTGACGGCGACGGCTGCGGCCGTGGTGAGCCGAGCGAGTGCCGCCGCATCGAGAGGTGGGAAACCCGGATACGTATTCCAGTGCGGTGTCGGTGGAGTTTGAGAAGGGAACGCGAGTATCGCTGGCCAGAGCGCAGCAGGTACTGGTACTGGCACAGGCACAGGTACTGCGACTATACGAGGTTCAGCGCCGCAGGAGCAAGGCCTCGGGCAGGGTTGTGGTATATGGCGTGTGGGTGGAGGGGGCAACACCGCCGCCGCGCCAGGCTCGAAATAGTCCCAGTCGCAGTCGTCGGGCGCAGGCGGCGCGGCGGAGGAAGCCGTGGACGAGGAGTCTTCCGTGTCCTCACGGCACGAGGAGTCCGAACTGAGGAACACGAGGCGGTAGTCTTCGGGACGCATGCGACCGGCCTCCGGCTCGCTGGCTTCACCCGGTTCGCTGTTGACGCCCCACTCTGAAAATAAACAGAGAGCAGTATGATTAATATTAAGATTTTTTTTTTAACAAAAATAAAAAATATAGGCACGGAGCCCTTCTTTTGTTCTTATATGGTATAGAAATTAGAACCCAATAGTATTCCGGGATAAAAAGTATCCTATATTCCAATCCAGGTCATAAAATATTCGCGTACCAAATTTCATCCAAATCCGTTTAGTAGTTTGCGCGTAATTTTCATATTTATATTATTGAAAGGATCACTCAGTTTAAAGGCGAATATAGCTATGCGGCAGAAAAATATGCCGCTTCAGCTATCCTGATCTTGTCGGCCTGAACTCAATTCCCTATCCCGTGGAGCCATGAAACTTTGAGGTTCTATAAAGTAGAGATTATTTCAGAACGGAAAATCAGCTATGACCTTTATTATGTATAATAAGTCACTTTTTAATGTATGTATTTAAACAAGATATATATAATATTATATTAATTAACATTTACTATTTCGAACTGTAAAAACTGAACTAGATTAACGCCTGATATTTTTCTTGCTGCAATAAGTTGCGCTAGCGTTAGTTAAGTATGCGAACAACAATAGGAGCTGTATAATTTTAACTGTATGTATTTACGTTTGTGTTAATTACACCAAAGGAGATCCTTTGGAAGTACACAAAACAATGTTTTTTTTACATAAAATTTCAATTCACTATTTAGGCATACTTGCAACGAAGTTCTTCATTAAAAAAAAGGTTATCATGTTCAAGCCTCATTCTATCTCTATTTCACTTTAAAATATTGTGATACACGATTAAGCCTTAATTGGAACAGTGAACTTTATGGCAAACGAACCTTAAATAAATATTATTTTTTAATAAATTAATAAGGTACGTAGCTTGTATACCTTCTGCTAACACAAAAGCCAGAATGTTATAATACGACTGAGCAAGCATCGAACTCGGTAAGCATTGGTGGCGAAATGGCGACTGAGTAGAAGAGATATCGGCGAAATCGAGATGTGTTTGTATATGGATAATATGATTATCATGACATCAACTACACGATAATATTCTAATGCCAATCAATAGAAAGCAGCGCGGAACAATGTGCAACGTGGTTGTTTAACATATGCTGCAATGAATTGTTAGTATCGAAGAATTTAAAAATTACTATTATTTTTTTACATAGTTATTTCAGGCAGAGTCCATAAAAATAAGTATGAGTAACAATATTCTTAAGCTAGGGTTAGTAATATTACAAAATATACACACAAAACAGTATTATACACACATATACTTGGGATGCCAATGTTTTTATCCACACAATTATACAGATAGAAAATGATTATAATGGGTATGATGAGTAGCAATGCTATTTAATTATAGGTTAAGGTGATAACTTGAATATTTAGAGCATAGCACTACTATTATATGGACAATTGCTGTACCAAACTAAACCTAAACTAAGACAATAACGCAGACAAATAGTAGACATGCCGAGCAAGATCAATAAAAAAAATTAAGATGTAGTAACGTTGACTAAAACAAAATATAGTATAGTTGATAAACTTCTATGCTACTTCCTATTGGGATAGTCGTTAGTCACTACAAGAACTTTAACAATGACATTTCGGCCTCGCAAACTATTCGAATTTGATAATGGTTCGTTGTAAGGTTACAGTACCCTTATCTTATCTTAGCACGAACCAATATCGGATTCGTAACGTTTGCGAGTACGAAAGATCATTGTGAAATGTGTACTGATTTTTAGTTCTCGTTACGTCCGTTATGGCGCTGCTGTTCAAGTTTTCATACAAAATTTAACAATGTCATTTCGGACTCGCAAGCTATTCGAATTTGATAATGGTTTGTTGTAAGGGTACAGTACCCTTAGCACTAACCAATATCGAATTCGTAACGTTTGCGAGTACGAAATGTCATTGTCAAATGTGTACTGATTTTTAGTTCTCCTTACTACCGTTACAGCGCCGCTGTTTAAGTTTTCATACAAAATTTAAGAATGACATTTCGTACTCGCAAACTATTCGAATTTGATAATGGTTTGTTGTAAGGGTACAGTACCCTTAGCACTAACCAATATCTAATTCGTAACGTTTGCGAGTACGAAATGTCATTGTCAAATGTATACTGATTTTTAGTTCTCGTTACGTCCGTTATGGCGCTGCTGTTCAAGTTTCCATTTAAAATTTAACAATGACATTTCAGACTCGCAAACTATTCGCATTCGATAATGGTTCGTCCTCAGGGTACAGAGGCCCAAGCACGAACTTTGACAGCTCCGTTAACCGTATTGCATAGTCAGTTTCTATGAAATTAAAAAAATCTTGTTCAACGACCTCCTTGGTCGAGCGGTTTGTACGCCGGGTTTCATGATGTCACCGACTCGAGAGGTCCCGGGTTCGAATTCCGGTGGAGGCAGATGTTTGGGTGATAAATACGAGCATTTGTACTCCTGTCCATGGATGTTTAATATATATTTCTATATAAATATACTTAGCTATATATGTACTGTATATGTATTCTATCCGTTACCATAGTATCCCCTAACACAAGCCTTCCAGTGCGTACTTTGGGGCTAGGCTAATTGGTGTGAGTGTTGGAAATATTTATTTATTTATTTACGAAAACTAAGCAGTGCAAGCTTAACTTACTGGACGTACGAGTAAGAACAAACTGGCTCCTTCCATACAACATTTTACGATGACGATACGATTACGGCTCTGTCAATGTTCGTGCGGGCCTCTGAAGAAGAAACTGCAGTTTATTATTATTCGGCTAGTCTACTATGGTGGAAAATACTTCTCCAGGTGCTTACTTATCCAAACAACTCTGGAACAATGGACTTTGTTTTATTATGATGTTTGACTATTTCTATCAAGTCATGCATGTTAAGTGTACTTTAATCACGAGCATGACCTACATTCAAGCTAAGCAATGACGAGTTATGTTTATTTTTCAATTCCTATTAATCTTATCTCTACTCAAAAAAAAAATTGGTTCGTTTTTATGTAGGGCCCAATTCTGGCATTACTCTCTAAACTTAAAACTAAATTTAGCATCAGTCTCTCCTTTCCATTCTGTATAGAAAATGACAAGGATACACTGTTGTCAAGTTTAATTTCGGAGAATCATGCCAATATCGACACCAGTAGGTGTTTAAATAAACTTTATAAAGAAAATACAATAAGTTACAGAATGCAATGTAAAAGATGGCGGAAGTATTGTATCTACTATTATAATAAATAACTTCAGTTGGGACGGGGAGGGTACATTAAGTACAATCATCAGTTTGCAATTGTAATTATGACAGATACGATCGCAATGGATTATTTATTAGCTAAACGTTTATGGATAAGCTATACAACGTACGTACAAACACGAATCCATGTTTTGAATCGCTGTACGTGCCAAGTTAACTTATTAGAAAATCTGATTAAACAGCAAATAGTGCCATCGTGTTTAAAACACCTTTCCAGAGGTAATAGAAAGATGTTTTCGTTATTTTTATTATTTGGGAATGTCTTTAAAGATTTTGGAATATCAATATATTTATCTATCTTTCCTTGAAAAATATAATCACAATAAATACAATTTGTTTAACGAGACTTGACGTTTTCTCTTTTATGCAGACCTTCAAATCTGCCGTAAAATCAATATTATCTATCAGAAACTAACAAAAACGTATTCTTTGTCAAGAGTTTCGGAATTTATTGTAGGTTGTAGGGCTAGCAGTCCGTCATTATTGTTTCCGGATTATAGCCTGCGCAGACTGCGCAGATCGCTTACAACTGCATCGAGTAACGCACACGACGGATTATAGGTACCGCGTACAAAAAGTCCCCCGAACAACTGAGGACACTGAGAAACCGGACATGACAAAAGTAACGCACACGACGGATTATAAGTACCGCGTACAAAAAGTCCCCCGAACAACTGAGGACACTGAGAAACCGGACACGACAAAACTACGCGGGTGTCCCCGAAAATTAGACCTCATGTGACTAGGCGCAGCAACGCACACAGCGAGCATTAGTGCGAGTTGCGCGCGCTCGATCATTTAAAGGAATGGATCCAGTATTTTCGTTTATACGTTCTTCTCCTTCTCTTTATCTTCATGTTAATTACAATCCAACGTAATCTGAGCATATTAACTTCCATAGCGTACGGTTTTCTTTATTTGGGGGACAATTGTTCGCAAATCGTGTGCGTCGAGTAAGGCCTTTAGAACTTATCTTATAACCGTCCGCAAATTCCAAAATTCATCGAAGTAGCTTTTTAAATATCTGCCAAATGTCAAATTTTAAAGGTATAATGATACAAGTTGAAGTAAAGGCAACCAAAGGACTGGCGCGGGCGTCGTCAAGGGTAAATTTAATGTCATTAAGTACCTATATATTATTACAATATTTTCTATTTCGTTCACTACTATATGTTTTTTATTTAAAACTTTTTTGCCACCCGCAAACAAGCATGGCCCGCCTGATCATAAGCGCCACCGTAACCTGTTGAGAAAAGTATAAACTCTTGCTATACTAAAAATATCACACTCGAGTCGCGGCTCACGCCGTTGGCTACCCAGGCCCAATCCCCTACCCCGTGGAGACCTGGAACCTTACTCACAGACAGAAACACAAAGTCACCAGAAGATACTGTTATTTTAGGTTACTTCCTCACCAGGTGTAACGTGCGCCACTCATAATTGGATCTCGCAGCTACGCCTGGGAGTGAGGGTTTGATCGGTGAGTTGGTTTACCTGGTAGATACGGGAGCTGGTCGGCTGTAAACGGAGAACCTTAGTATTCGTTTAAGCGGGCGCGGAACGGGCTGCTTGTCGGAAGTGGGGTGGTGTGACGGCTGTCTGCCACGCTTGCGTGGGCGTACATCAAAGTATTGCTATACCGACGAGTAAATCTTGCGATCGCCCTCGCTAGCCGAATACACCACGCAACCACCAGCGTCGCGGGGGTTTGTTACGTTTCATTGTACGTGGATATAATGCATT